ACCTGGTTTTAGTTCAGTTTCACGCAAGAATGTTGGTCGCAAATTACTTACGACATATTCTTCACAACAGAATAAAACGCTAAGTCGACAGTCACGAGTCTTTCTGGATAAGTTTGGAAATTACTTTACACTTTTTTCGAGAAAGTTTGACTCGGGTCATCCCGTATACACAATGCGTTTTTATGAAAGCAAGTAACGCTCGATTTTAAGGTGTATTTAATGGGAAACAAAGTAGAACATGACACAATACGCAAGATTTTCCATGGTAAAAACCAAATAATAAAAAACTCCGTGCAGAAAGACGTTGACTTGACTCGAGAACCAGATTTTACGAGTATAATACAATTTGCGACAGCCTACACTTACTAGGTAGCTATTTTCCTAGTTTGAGTTAGTTTTAGTATAACAATTACTTATGAAAGTAATTACTTCTTGGAAGCAATTTCCAGTTATTTACTCCTTTTAGATGTATGATCTACGATGCTACATTAATTCCGACTTGAAAGTCCTAACGGTTTAATGTTAGAAAGGTTCGCAAGTACCCATAAAGGCGATCCGTGTTCCATAAAAAGCTGTCCCACCCGATTACAATAATTATTTGTCAATTTCAGAGACGCGGAGGGAATTAACACGCCAGTTGCTAAACACCAAAACAAAGAAGCGTTTTCATGGAAAAAGTAAACGTCGCGAGCGTTGACTTTCGGCTACACTAATAACCGAAAAAAAATTTTTTCGCTCGAGAGGAAGAGGATGCTGTTGTGGCACGATAAAGGATAATAACGTAAAGCAAACTTCCATCTTTCGTTATGGGTACCTAGTCAAGACTTACGTGCACAACACCCGGCGAACACGTATAGTTCAAGGGCAGTCATCTCTTCTCCGCCGAGTTGTGGAGAAATGGCTTTAGCGGTCACTTTATAAAATCGTACCAGTGGCGGCAACGCTATAGCTTGCATCCGGCATCTCAAGACCAAACAACCACTGATACGCCATTTTTCGCGTGTGAAAACGGCGATAACACCACGATGTAACCCAATAACACTCTTATTCATTCATTAACACCAACTAAAACATCACTTTTCTTTTTTAAATCATTGAAAACTGGAGAAAGCTATGATTGTTGCAAAATTAAAACCTCTGTTTCTGAAAAGAAGTTTTGCATCAAAATCGACATTTTGAGTCGAAGCTGGGTCACGAGGAGTTAGAGACAAGCATTTAGAAATTACTTTTTGGTAATTCGTAACTACAAAAAATTGGATGAAAAGCAACTTTTCATTAAAAATGTCGGATATGTTTTTGGTTGATAAAACTGATCCAGCGAGAATGTTGTGTTGAAAAAACGTCAACTTTTATGCAATTATCCTTCAATCCTGATCTTTGAAAACACCTCCGGTCGAGTTTAATAAGCGGAGATTGTCAGAAGTAGTTTTCAATAAAGTTATTTACGAAGTTAATGTAAGTTGGTTGAAAAACGCATTCAGGCTATTCAGTAACGCTGACTTGTAAATTCCTGGACTGGATCCACCTGAGATGTGGCTCAAAACAACTTAAAACATTCTTGCTTGGATATTGTTTTACGCGATATGAAACTGAATGAAGCAGAGTAAGTCGTTAAGTTAATTTAAATTTGTCAGGGGAATGAAAATTACCCATGAACATTTTAATTATAATTGCAAAAACGGTGAGAAATGACATGAAAATTACGCTTTTATTCCATCAAGTGCAGAAAAACTGATTTTATTGCAAATCTAATACTTACATTTGTGTAAAAATACAGCTTCCGACGATTAGATATGATTATCGTGACATTTCAAATAAATGTTGCTCTTCTCATGGATAAAATTACACTCGTTGGCAACTTTTCTAGCACCTGCAGTGACTTTTAAACGTAGAAAGTTCAAGTTTTGCAAATATTGTTTGGCAAATTTTAAACGCATTTCTTTAAAACCAAGGCCAAGGACAGATATTAATGAAAGTTGTCAAAATCAGTAATCACACGTGGAAAATTACGTTAATCCAATACCCCAGTTTATATTTTTCACATGTATGATATTTTGCTTGCATTCCATGTCTGTTCATGCCAGTTATCACCTCACGTTCCATAATATTTGTCTACATGTCGCTGATAATTTTTAAATGAGTCTCTAAGAAGGTGTGAAAAATTGGACATTAGCTTTGTTTTCGATTTTTATGATTCATGAACTCGTTAAATCAACGAAAATGCGGTTTGAAAACGTTTATTTAGATGGATTTTTAGTGAAAACGAAGGAAGTACACAAATAATTGTGAATGTCATTTGAGATAAATACAGCTATTTATTGAAATGTTATTAGTTTAATTTTAAGTGGTTTTTAATGTGTTGCTGCTTGTGGTAAATCAATTTTGAAGGAAGTGCCACATTTGTAATCTGCATTTTTACTTACCATTCCCAAGGGTTTGCGACTTGGATAATGTTGCACCAAAAATAAAAGTTCCTAATTTGAGATTATTGAGATATGTAGTAGTTTGTTTAATTTTTCTGCTTCATTTTTTATTTGTTTGGAATATTTATAGAAATTAAAAAAGAATTACCGAACTCCTGGGAGTAAATTGATCTAAATTGCTCGTTAATTACAGTTTTGGATTTTTCCTGAGCCTGAATTAAATACAATAAAATCAAATTTAAATCTAAAAATATGAATGACGCTACAATATAAAAAAAACAACTTTTGTAAAGTTCATAACAATGGAAATAGATTGTCTGGAGAAGAACAATGAATACAAAATCATACATTCCTGAAACCGGTGCGAAGACGCGAAAACAGGCGAGGAGAACCATGGGAACAAAAACCCAAGATTGAAAAAAATAATTTGGAAATGTGATAAATTTCGCATTTTTTAAAATCAAGTTGTTGGTGTGATTTTGGCGGGAAACTGGTCGGTTAAATGCGAGCGCAAACAAAGAACCATTTGTTAAATTAAGCGATAATTTTCTTCGGATGATGACACCAAATTTTTGGATGAGTGTGGATCTAGTCATGATTAAAATAAAACATGCACCAAACCCTCACCCATCAAAAACTTAAGGATAACTACCGCTTTGTCTTTCTTCGTTTTTCCCGCGTTTCTTACCATTTTCCACGACGATGGTAGATAAATCTTGTTATCACCTGGTATTACACATTCACTGATAAACTGAAATTCGTTTAAAACAAAAAAATCGGTATAAATCACAGCAACCTAACTTGTTTGAAAGTCGACTTGTAAATGGGTTCCGATTTATTTTTCAAAAATTCTACGGTTGGTGCCGACGAAGTGGGAGATAATGATAGGTGTCTTGACCAATGGTAGACGCCAATGACGTGGAGAGGGGATTAGCGCGTTCTCTGGGTTAGCGTTGGGACGTAAGTCGGGGATAGCGTCATCGATAACTCACGCTATAGCGTGTAATATGTTGCTGTGGTAGTTTTTTCAGGAATTGTAAAAATAATTAACTCAGTTTTTGACTCGTACTGCACTGAGTAAGCGAATGAGTAAACAAAGTGTAAAATATGTGAAATTCTGGTGAATAAAATGCGATTCTTTCGATTGTAGGAGCTTTCTCGCGAAACGCGACCGATGTGGAATCGCACCAGAAAATAATTTTTGTTCCTGCTTCAGAAAATTTAAATAACGCTCAGAACTGATAAATTTGACTAATTATAACAGTTTTTATACCACATGTTCCAACCAAAAACTATTGTTAAAATTTATAAAAATTTATTTACCCAAAATTATTTTTAAATATACAAGTTGTCTCACAAATAAGTTACAACAATATAAACTTTTATTTTTTTAATATGTTGTCAAAAAAAATTGATACGATTCTTGTTTTATAGTTGGAAACATTTTTCAGTAAATGCATTTTTGGCAATCTTATAACAAAAAAATATTTGTATATTTTAAATAATGATGATTCATCTTGTATACAAAATGATTAAAAGAGAAAACAAGAAACAAATTAGAAAACATGAGAGAAAATATTTTTTTAATTTTGGATTATTTTTGTGGTTATTTTTGTTCAGTGAATAAAAAAATCCAAAATACAGGAAACAATTACCAGTTAATTATTACTATTTGAAATTATAACATATGAGTGATGATCGAAAAAATTAGCCTCTAAATAAAAAGGAATTTCTTAATTTTTCTAGTTTTATGCGATTTAAACATTCAACAAGTAGAAAAGTAAACATATTTAATAAAACAAAAAATTACAAATATTGAATTCAAAAATAACAATTTTTAATTCTAAAATCGGATTTTTCGACATCTCGTAGAACAGAACATCTGACTGAATAACCAAAAGCGAAAGGGATTTTAGTTGACAAATTCTCTGTTGGCAACAATGACTTGATAGTTTGTTTCTTAGTAACGCTAACACGGCAAAATCAAATTTCAATTTTTTGAGAGCTGTTTTCGCTCAAATGGAGTTAATTGGAGAATTAATAAAAATGTCGATTAGATGGCCCTTTTCGAGCACTAGAAACTTTATCAATCAGATTTGATTTCTGTTACTCCTGCAACCGGAAAAAAATAAAAACTAATTTCGTATATTAATTTCCTATATCCAAATCTGCCTGGGACACTCGGTATATTTTTTTGAAATTAAAAATATATTTTTATTCTATGCATCTTTTGAAGTTTTTTTATTTTACCGAAAAAAAAAAATCGTCTATGATTTTGAAATTAATTAAATTGACTATTATGAAAACCATCCAAACAAAAGATATGAAAATTGACAAGTCTCATATTTTCTGTCTTTGGATTACTCAATGTTGCCAACTTAATTTCAAAGTTGTCTCCACTTTAATTAGAAATTTAATTAAATTAAACGTAACATAGCAACAGTTATCTAACTTTAAGACTAATAATGCGCTTGTACGGTTATTAATAAATTTAGTCATATTATTTACTTAATTTTTTCGTTGGTGACGTGACCGGAATTGTGGTGATAAACTGATAATCGTTGTTTCCGGACGGTCGCTTCGGTAGCGAAATGGCGTCGATCGCTGTACCATGGTAGGCAAACAAAAGCTGCCTCAAAACTCCGCAGTCCCTAAATGTAATGGTGAATTCGGCATCATATCCTATTCCGAGTTGTAATAAAATCCAATTAAAAGTGTAGGTAAATGTGAAAATCCCTCTGGATTTGTTATTTTAGTGCAAAGTGATTGAAAATCTTGTCAATTTCCCAAGCTTTCGACATAACCTAATTGTATTGACATTTGTGTGAAATTTGTTTTCAAACATCATCTGCGGAAAATCTCTTGTTGTGTTTTAAATAAAGCAAATTACTAAACTCGAAATCCCTTTGAATGTTTGAGGTAAGGACTAATTGTAAAAAAATATTTCACACACACCCATCCCCTCCATAGTGACGTCACTAGTCAATTTTGTTGCATGTTGACCTAAACATACAGCTTAAAAGATAAGTTTTTGTCGAAGAATGTGTGCAAGATTTGTTTATTTAATTGTTTAAATTCGTCGCTAATATAAAAACAGAGTCTCCTTTGTTCTAGAAGTTGTCAAACTGTTCGATTAATGCATGAGCGATTGTGAGTAAGTACGCTTTCAGGAAGCTGTTGCTCCTTGAATAAGTCACTTCGTTGAAAATGTCGAGCCCCAACGAGTACCACATGAGGGAAGTGGGTTAGTATCCCAGTTTGCAAAGTGTAGGGAAACACTCAATGTCCCATAGTCTTTACAGACTCCAGATTCCAATCTACCAGCAGCGCCGAAGAGGAGGCGGAAACAGGCTCAGATGAGGAGCAGCCCATTATGTTTCACTACCACCAAGTGGAGAAATCCGCCATAAAACGCCGAGGACACTTACCCAAAGACGCTGTCAAAATCCTGAAAAACTGGCTCTATGAACACAGATTTAATGCTTATCCAACTGAAGTGGAGAAAAATATACTCTCCCAGGAGACTAATTTGACAGTCCTTCAAATCAGTAATTGGTTCATTAATGCGCGTAGACGATATTTGCCTGAAATGATGAGAAGGGAGGGTTACGACTCAATGCACTACACTATCACAAGGCGCAGGAGAGTCAGACGTGGAGTGAATGGGGAGGTTTATCACAAGGGGAGCAAGCAGATGAGAATTGATGGGGGCAGTGAAGACAGTCAGTCAGATTATGAAGAAAATACAAACGGCTACTGTGAGGAGGTCGCGAGTGAAAGGAAATTTAATCCCTGGCAAGCAGATATTCATTATGGACTTACTGTAAATCCTGCTGATAGAGGGTAAGAACTTTTCTTATTATTCTGAAAGTGTGACATATGACAGCTGTCAAATGTCAATTGCTTGTCATTATTGTCATTTCACAAAATTCATCATTCAAATTCTTTCAATTTTCATTTATTTCCATTCAAGTTTTTCCTGCTGGGAAAGTATCACAGAAGCAATTTTTACGTATTACTTTAATTGTAATAAAAATGTTGGAAAATTTTGCAATCAAACTTTTTCAGGTTTTAAAGCTAGGTAGTATGGATGAATTTATTTGAAATAGATAAATTGGTTTGAAAACATATTTCTTATAATTCTAAAAACTGGGTTATCCAATTCTTGCTTTGTGTGTGCTCATGCACCCATTAAAATGTGTTTTATTACAATGGAAATTTCCATGTTTTAATTTTTTTATCATTCTGCATTATTACGTTTTTGAGAGATTATTTAATATTTGTGAAAAACAATTCATTATTTAATTATCAGTAATAATTCTTTCCATATTTCTTCTATTTCAAATTTTTTTTATAGAGTTGATGGCGTATTATTG